TGAAGGGAACTGCAGTGCTATGGACAGGCATCCCTCTTATCTGTAGCCAGGGAAAGGGCACCACACCACTGATCCCTTGCATATATTCAGCTGGCAGGTGTACAGGTGACTTGTTAGCTTGCCCTCCCCTCAAGGGTCCCCATCCCACAAACCTACGTGTGGAGAAGTAGATGTAAGCGAAGAGTATAATGTAGGTGGTGACGAGGGGTATCAGCTCAGCAATGCCAATCTCTTCCTTGAAGTGGACGTGAACGATGTTCTCCTCTCGCAGCGTGCAGTTAGGGCTGGGATGCAGCAGCTTGAGGCGAGAGCGGAGGCTGCTGAGGAACCTGAGATGAAAAGCAAGCAGGAGGATGTCACGCTGTAGACAATAACCAGCGCACAACTCCAAGGAGGAGCTCAATGGCAATAGATCAAGTAGGAAGAAGCTCTGTAGATTCACACAGACTTACAAAGCACAGCTCGCTCTAGGCCCAACTGCTAAATCTGGTCCTCTGTGGCCCAAACTACATTTGTCACATCTGTACTGAGGCAATCTTACAGACCTTGATTTCTATGAAGATTTAAAGGTAACTGTGAAGACTTAGCAAAACTATTTAAAGCCAGGGCCCCTCACCCAAAATCTTGGCCCTGGGGAACAGAATATGCTGTAGTCTCAAACATCCCCTGAATTTACGTAAGGTGATGAAAAGTGCTACATGACAGTCCTTGAGGCTGAAGGGTTCTTACATGGGCAGCAGCAGAGCAAGTTTTGACTGCTGTGCTCCCAATTCCGTCCTAGGCATTCCTTAGGGAATTCTGTGCAGCACGGAGCAGAGCGATTAGTCCTCAGATGCACTCACTCCAAGCCAGCTTTGCCAACACCGTGCCAAAGGGGTTTCACACTTGGTACCAGTTGAATTAGTGCTTGCTGGAAAGCAAACCACTCTGTGCACCGGGAACTGGGTCAAACCAGACCTACTGAGCCTTGGCTGCAACGACGACAGCTCTGTGAGCAGATGAAGCCATCATCGGAAAAACTCTCATTGGCAGCTTTGGGTATTATATATACTTTTTGTAAAGAGTAATTAAGAACTGATAGTATTTTATTTCCCTAAAACACAGCAAGTTTTCTCCCCAAAAAGGCAACCTGTTTTTCTATAGCACATTCAGAAGATCCTAAAATATTCTAAAACACAAGAAAATGGGTATTAAAGAAAAACATAACAATAATCAGAGTCGAGAGAACAGCAAACTTGCCAAGAAATGAATAAGGGATCCCTAACATAGAAATGGCACAGCTAAAGCTCCTTACCTGGAATCATATCGCTGGAGACCCAGTGTGACAGTGTATGATACCACTCGCTTCCTATTATAGAGGTTCACCCCGCTGTACTTTCCAGGGAGCCCAAACAACAGATCTGCAAAAACACAGTATGAATGAAACATTAGGATAACAAAAAAACCCCCACAAACAAAAAAGATAGGATGTAAGAGGTGAAGAATGCTGAATGAGAACTACGGTTCTTACTGGAAGCACTTTCTTGGTGCTCTGGTGAGTATAAACGTGTATAAATACCTGATGCAAGGGAGTAAAGAAGACAGAGCGTCTCTTCTCAGTGGTGCCCAGTGACAGGATGAGAGGCGATGGGCACAAATTAAAACATGGGAAATTCCCTTTAAACACAAAAATCCCTTCCTTCCTGTGGGGAATTTATCTGTCCTCATCTTCTTTCCCGACCAGACAGTCTGCAGCACACAAGGTCTGCCCTCTAATCCTAACCCATAAGCTCTCAACTGACTCATTGCCTGTTCCTAAGCAAAGCTCCACACGTTCCTGTTGCTCTCTCACAAAAAGGACAACTCTCCTTCCTCACCCTCCCGGCCTGCCCTTCCTGAAGAGCCTGCATCTACCCACAGCAGCGCACCAGTACTGTGAGCCACCCCACGCCACCTCTGTGAACTGGATGAGGTTGTAGCGCTCCAGCTACACACACCTCTAATTCCTCCTGCTTGCTCCCCATGCTCTGTGTGTTAGTGTGCAGGCACGTCAAGTGGGCACCCAATCTGTCCTTCAACAGAGGAGACAGGCATTATCTTTAAGGATGCAGACAAAGAAATACTTGGATACTTGGTCTTGTGCATGTTGGTGTGTGATTTGAACCAGTGGTTCCAAAAAGACTTTGCATTGCAAAGAAGTATTTATTGTCTCTTCTGTTAACCTTGTGCACTAAACACAGACTTAAAAAAATTACGCGTCAGGATGAACTCTACCACCGTTGTCAGGAATTCCCAGGATATCGTGGACCTCTATCTTGTTTGCGAATGAGCACTCAAAGAGAGCACTCCATATGCTCCAAACCACAAGTGTGCACACACTCTGGATGCTCAAAAAATAACCTCTAAACCAAACTCACTTTAGGGTTACAAAACCCCTTTTCAGACATGTCATACCATAGGCTTCCTGACACCTACAAAGTTCCTTTAAAAACAGAGGAATAGCATTTCATCTGGCCTTAAGGAACCACTAAACCATATGATGCCAGACATGATCAGCCTTATTTTTTTTAATTAAGAGAGAAAAATACTTTTATGAGATCCAGCAGCAACTCGGGGTATAGGCAAGCAACTATGAGTGAATGCAGAAGGGGGAGCAGGATAAATGTTCATTGATCTGTGACAGTGAAACAGTCTTTGAGTAAGACAGACAATAGCATAAGGGAAAAAGATAGAGTAGAGCATACGTAGAGTAAGAGGAACAAAAAGAGTTGGACATGTTATCTGCTATTTTTACACCTATAGAAAGGAGGCTGACTGAGTGGAATTATTCACCCAACAGTTACAGAACTGAGTTCAAACAGAGATATGAAATGAGAGATGACATGTATTTAGTAGCTTCATTCCAGATGCTCTGAGTAATGAAACGCCACCCAATTTGCTAACATTGGCCATCTAGATACAAAGGACAAAACAGCCATGCAAGCCACAGGGTGTTCTCACAGCTTTTTCGGCACTTCAGTCTCTTACCTTTGAGGGTAGCTGATGTTTGTAATGTCTTTGGTTCATGCTGGTGGATGGTTTTGATGATATCTGGGTCAGCATTGAATCGCTCTCTGTCGTTCTGCCAGAAGTTCCCTGGAGACAGTAACAGACAGCCGTGTTCGGGGAGCAGATTCCGCAGCTTCTTGAGGCCAGGCAGAAGATCTGTTACCTGAAGGCAAACTTCCTCCAAGCTTTTGACACCAGAACTGAAACGCAAACAAAGGTTAGACACTGCCACCTATGTTACAACTCTCACAAACAAAAGGCAAAGTTGCAGAGATGAATACCCCAAGGACCTGCATCACCTCGTTACTGCTCTTGTTCTTAATAACTGAGGATCAAGAGCCTGGGGCCATAGACTGGGATCTGGCTGTAACACATGTACAGACTCCAGAACCCCATTATCGTTTCTCTGCATACTGTCTGGCCACATAGCTTTCACTCTTCACCCATCCTAGGTGCCACCATTTTCAGTTCCACATTTAAGATACCTCCAGAATACAGAGAAACTGTCTCCCTGGAATTCTTCTGCAAAGACATAAACTCCTCTGCATACTTTTTTCCACATATGCTGAATGAGACACTATACAGAAATCTTTATTAGCGTTTCTGAAGTGAATTATTTAAGGTATACAGAGTGCTCTAAAACGTACAAAGGATCCAATATCTACAACGGTGCAAAATGTTTTCAGAATTCCTCTGCATTGTATAGAAAAGAAAATGCCTGGCAGGTTCAGAAATTAATAGAGGTGTAACCGGTATGAAATGGAACTTGTGTTTGTTCCCAAATGTCATTTTAACACAATTAAACAACCTTTCTCAACTAGTAATTCAAGTGAGACTCAACTTGGGCTCACCACAGGATCTGTGAAGGTTTAGTGACAGAACCTATCAGCACGCTCTCTGGCTAGACAAGGAAGAACTGCTGGTCCAGAAGGGAACAGTTCCCTCAACACGATACGGGTGACTGGTGGGATTTGCACAGGAAGGGTATATCTAACAAAGGCTAAGTTAAGATACAGGAGACGAGTCTTCCCTGGCTCCAGTCTCGCAGATTACAGAGAAGGTGGCTCCTGAAGACAAATCATTTAGGGTCCTATTGTAAAATGCCTTCTCCAGAGGAGTTTTTTTTCTTTAAATGACTAGAAAGAGCAAACATGGAAACCAATCAATGATGATTTGAGTTATGTCTTTGTGAACACTCCCTCCAGAATCTTTATCTTGTCACTATATGGCAGGATATCTAGAAAAGTCACAGCTCTCAAAAGAAAATACTAGAAAATATGCTTGAAAATACTGTGTTTATAGGAACAGAAGCCTTCTGAAAGATAATTTAAAGGAAATGATGCAATGATGCCTCTGATAATAGCTCCAGGAAGACTAAGATGATTAATTTTTGTATTTCAGCTCTAGCTAACTCTGAAACATAACAGTGATAACAGTTTATACTGCAGATAAGCTTATGTCTGTTCTTATTGGCGAAGCAAATGCACACAGCCAATGTCCCTACCAGTATGTTGTGGATTCGGAGAGTGATACCAAAAATCATGAACTGGAGTGAACAACAAATTTCAGTTCACTTCTAACTTTTTACAAATGATGACTGCTCAAAGCTTCAGCAAGCTTACAGCTGATGAAAATATAATCACTTTGTACTTCCTAGACAGTTGTCAATAATCTTCAGCTCCTTCTGTACTTCAGTATAAAAGGATGCCCTTGTTCATATTAAGAAAATCAGCTGCACTTAACTTTGATACCGACAAAAGCAACTGACAACAAGGAACTTCATAACAACTTTTGAAGTAATTTCAGAATTTATCTCAAAGTAAGATGTTTCTTGAAATATCCGAGTCTGTCACCAAAATGGGAGTTATCCCAAACTTATCCCAAAGTTTAGGTCTAAACGCCTAAAACAACTACCTAGCCTTTTCCTCCTGGTCGCTATGTAAGTTTAATTTTGCTTCTTTGCTGCACCACTGTTCATCAAGGGCAAAACCAAGGAGAGATAGTAAAAAGACAACACACATACTGGGAGCCAGTTGTTTCTAACTTGAAATTGGCAACTATGTGCTGATGATTATCTAAAGTTACATATATGATATTTAACAGCATAAATGGCATTTCTAAAACATTATCAGAAAGAGAGCAGGCAGCTAGCTTGCAAGGAATGGTTTAAAAAAAAGGGACAAATCATCAGGTAGACGAGTAAAGTGGACAGTCTCAAAAATGAAGCAATGAAGGATGCTGTCAATATGAACAAGCAGTAAATCTTCCTTACCCATGTGAGTTAGAGGACAAAGAATGAAGAAAGCTCCTGGCTGAAAAGGTAGGAAATGATCAAAGACTCTAACCTCACCATTTTTCACCACACTCGGCCTGTTCTCAGCATCATTATTCTCACTGAACATAGACAGGTAGGGAAGCCTTTCTGTCCTTGGAAAGTAAACCCAGCTAAGAACTTGACCACAAATAAAAACTTAGAAAACTTATTAAAAAAAAAACCAACCCCCCCCTAAAAAAACCGAATCCAAACCAGAAGCAAGTTAACATGTATAAAATGTATTCTTGGTTTACAAAGAGAGAATATGCCAAACTAATCTGAGTGGTCTCTTCTTTAAAATGCCTAACTTCTTGGATGGGGAAAGCACAGCAGATCTCATCTACTTGGGCTCCAAAAAAGCTTTTGATGCAGAAAATGCACAGGAAAGACAGAAGCTCACACAAAAACTGTAATGCAGTAAAGTAGGTTAACAGGAAAATGGTCATGGGGCTGCTGAAAGGGGAACCCACCGGTATTGAGGAAAATAAAGTGGAATTTCTCACAGAGAGTTCAGAGAATCCAGACTATTATATATTTTTATTAATAATGTTGGAATAAGATATAGGGACATCTGCCAGTGACACAAAATAAAGAAACACTGTTAGTACAGAAAAGGAACAGAATTATCTGAAAGATGATGTGAGGGCTGGAATAAATTTAATCCCCTTTCTATTAACAGTACACAGTGTGAGACCATGCACTTGGGGACTAAAAGGAGTTTCTGCTATGAAATGGGAGCTCATCAACTGGAAATGACAGAGAGGGACACAGGGACGTTAATCAACCACTTCATAATGTGTAAAATGGATGTGGCTGGCCAGGAAAAAGGGACATGCAATCACACTATATTTCAGGAAAGGCATTTCCATGGAAATTAATGCACAAATGAGACTTCTCTGAGAATACCGTGTACAGTTCTAATCTCCCACGTTCAGGAAAGATACACTAAAACAGTGCCAAGAGGAGCAACCAGGACAACGAACTGAATACAGAGCCAGAGTAAGTCAAGAGTTTCATATGTTTAGCTTAACAAACAAGGATACAGGGTGGGGAGGATGAGTTCTCCCTGTAAATATCTGGAAGCAGGGGAAAGCTATTTTTGTACAAAGACTGTGTCAGGACAAAACCAATCAGGTCCTAAATATAGCCAAAGTGGAAAGTCAGAAGAAGGTTCCTGACCATGTGAAATTCGAGAAGAGCTTCACAATGGGCATGGTGGGGTCAAATGAACTTGCTTTAATACGAAGCTTACACGCTTACGAAGGGATTATATGACGCTGCTGTCTGCTGTGACAGGTATAACCTCGGAGGCCCCTTCCAGGCCTGGAAGATTCCTGACAATTATCAGTGACTAGAGGACAGGCAAGTTCTCTAGTGCAAAAGCTAAACTGCTCTATGTGCAGGGCGGGTGTGATGTCACCTGTTAGCAGTGATCTCTCATTTTCTTTTCATTTTGAGAATCTTACAGATTCAAAGCTAATAATCAGACTTACGAGGCAGTAATTTAGAAGGTGGGTGTGCACAACAGTGGGTCAGTCTGCCTTCTACGCAAACTTTAATGAACAGTTAATTACCTGTCTCTCAGGGCATGGTTTCTAATCTCTTCCACTAGCTGGAAGACGCGGGAAAGGGGTGAACGAAATACATCAACAGCAAGGAAGTTCTTCTGCCATGGGGAGACGGTAGCTTTCACGAAGATCTGCTGAATGTAGGCCACAGGAGCACCAACATACTGTGGGGGAAACGAGAGGGAGAATGAAAACACACGGTGAGTAGGAAGCTGCTTAGCAGAATTAGACCACAGTTTGGCAACATTTCAGGAAGGGGTTTGCCAGACTATATTTTCCTTTCCCAAATTAGAGGTGAAACATGACAGTACTAACCTAGCAAGAACAAAAAGAGTCTGTTTCTCAAAGAGGCAAAATGCCACTGACCATTTTGGCATCAGTCTATTGCGCTGCTTTGTGAGGCAGAGGCTCCCAGTTCCTGCTGAATTTGTTACCGGGATGAAAGGCAAGAGCAGAGACTCGCTGCCTCTCCCGACGCTGTAGTAAATAGAACCCCAACCTGTGCTGATTCTGCTGTATGCCGTTTAAACCTTCCTGGTCTCCGTGCCCAGGCTGCTGACCCTGCTCTGGGGACTGCAGAGCTGACATGCCGTGGCAGACAGAACTTTTGTGCTCTATTAGCTGAACTAGGCAACAAAGCAGAAGGGAAGATTTAATCAGCCAGCAGCGGCCCAAGTTAACCGTATAGTGCAAAAAGCTCTCAGTGGCACCAGGGAGTGTAGAAGGTGGCAAATTTCAATCACAGTGCAAAGAGCACACACACAGAGTTGAGAGCTCAAGGCATCAAAAGCATTAATCCAACATGTAACTTCTACTTAAGAGAGACGCTGGAATGAAAAAGAACAATGCAGGTTACAAAGGATGACTTGAGAATTGTTTTCTGATTTCCTGGACCAGGCTATCAGCCTTCTTGGAAAGCATCAGGGTTCCAGTTTGTTCATGCAAAAGAAAAGTCAATTCCTTACCCTTAACATAGGGATGTAAGTCTAGTTTACCTGCACGATACATATCAGCCAATTAAAAAAACCAAACCAAACCAAACCAAACCAAAACCCTCCTTTAGATTATACCCAATTTACCAGGTTCTTCCAGCATTCCTACATTCCCTAGACCACACTGTAGTAGCGAGCTCCACAGACAGTCTTTGGCTGTCCAAATTCAAACAAAAAACTCGATAGTGTAAGAAAAAAGCCTGTGTCTTGGAGGTGAAGCCTAGACTACTTATGTCATCAGCAAAAACCCGGCTAGATGCAGTATTTTACAGCCAAAGGAGAGAAAATTGCAAGCGCTGAGGAGCTGGACAGTATGTCTTCCACCTGCAGGCCAGACAGACATTCCCATTCTGATGGTAGTGATCTCTGAAGGACAAGCTGCTTGATAGCCAGAATCCAGATCCCTCCAGAGAGAGGCTGACAACACCGAAACCACTATTGTAATTACGGGTAACACCTCCACAGTTATAGCAGTAACGGCTGACTAAATCCGATTCTCACCCTTCAGAGGAGGCCAAGGACAGGTATGTGAAGCAGTGTGTGTCAGCAAGAGGCTTGTTCTGCTGCTCTAGGGAGCATGCCTTCATATGACATTAGGAAATTGGGGCCTGTTATGCCAGAACTCATCATTAAACTTATTTAAAAACCTAATAATAGAATCACAGAAAGGTTTGGGTGGGCAGGGACCTCCCAGCCCACCCAGTGCCACCCCTGCCATGGGCAGGGACACCCTCCACTAGCCCAGCTTGCCCAAAGCCCCATCCAACCTGGCCTTGACCACTGCCAGGGAGCCAGGGGCAGCCACAGCTTCTCGGGGCAACCTCTGCCAGGGCCTCAGCACCCTCAGGGGGAAGAATAATGTTTTAAAAAGTATACTACTTGCCTTATATAAAGTTATCCTTAAAAAATGGGCTCTTAAACAGCATTTCAGAGCTTTTAGTTCTTCCAAATGCCTAGCATCCATTTTTCTGATAGAGTAAGACTGCTACAAGACAAATGCAGCCTAAACATAGCAGTTATGCAAAGCAAAATGTCACCAGAAATACTTTCCATTGATTACAGTAAAGTGTATGTAACACAGCAGGGATGTCTCACTGTCTCATCGACCCCCCCACACACCCCCAGCACACCCAGCCACCCCCAGTGCAGGACTCACCCAGTCGGGACGCTCGCTGAGATCCCCTTGCTGCAGACCTGCATCTGGAGAGGGTGGAGAGTAATCCTTCACGGGGGTGCTGTACTCCACAGGTCCTGTTCCAGGCAGCGGCAGCTTCAGCAGCGGGTAACTACGATTAAGATATAAGCAAGAAACATTGTGCTTTTTTATTTTTTCATTAGGTTTTTAGACAGAAGAGCGCAAGAAGTTATTGTGTCATTAAACATGAGCCCACTCCAGCTTAAGCCAAGCTCTGCAGGACAGGAGACACAGCTGCAATACAAGAGAGCTTTAGCTTTCATAGGACCTGCTTGATGTATTTCCCCAACACAAGAGAGAATGCAGCTAAAAATCCTGGGAGAAAAAGAAGAGAAGTTCTTGCAGGACTTCACCTGAATTACTCTCTATCACCTGAAAGTGATTGAGTACAGCCACATCTCAACTATTCTGTAGCTCGCACAAAAATGAGACAATGACTGTAAATAAATGGCTACTCTTCTGACCCAAGCCCCATACTAATCACCACATTTTCCTCATTAAGATTTAAATTATTTCCAATATTTGTCATCAACTTCATTGGTCCTCAAAGCACTTTTAATAGTAGCAATGAGACACCAAACCAGCTATGAAATATTTATCTGCTTGCTTCTTTGTTACTACAACCACCAGATGATTGTAGCAGCTATCCCACAACAAAGCCTTCAAATGATTTCAAAGTTGAGATGCTAATGTTTCAGAGAGTTTAGAATATTATTTTTAGCTCCAGAGGTTCCCGAAAGTGGTTAAAATCATATCAGAATTGAACTAGTGGAAAAAGCAAGAGTGCTATTACGAAGATAATGACCAATAAGTGGGAGTTGTCAGCACCAAAATGAACTGGAGACCCCAGTTTCCTGAGCTTTCTGATGATAAAACTTCTTTTTGCTGCCTGATGCACGACGATCTATCAGGCATATTTCTGACATATTTTCCTGTTTATAGCTGAACTTTTCTCGCAATATTGCCAGAATAAATATAAAGGCCTCAGAATTGTTTTCATGCAATACTCTGCCCACTTTGTTGGGGATTAGCCTGAATCATCAAAGGCCATGGAGGGAACAAGCAACAGCTAAAGACAAAGCTTCAGGCTGAACAGCAAAAGGCTGAAAAAAGAACAATGAAATCAGAAGCAAAGCGTGTCGGATTTACTATTTTATTAGTCTGACAAGAATACAACATCCAATTATTATCATTTCATTGTGCAATGGGAGGGAAGAGAAAAAGGAATAATAAAAACATGTCATAATACATCAGAGGTGCAAATGCCCAACAAAAGCCACAATCTGGAGACGCAGCACAGCCTCTTTTCTTTCACAAGCAGCAATCAGTTTTAGCCCTTCCAAATGACACGTGGCACCTACTGTCACAAATGATCTGCTGAAAACAAAAGCCTGATGGAAATACATACAGCAATCATCCTGCATCTGACTGAGGCTGAGACAGACATAAATTAAAATAATAAAATCGAGTGTATGTGATAAACAAAGCAGAATGAGTTGAACAGGTGACCAAGGAAGAATGATTTTTTCACTAAATCACAGAACCCCAGACTGGTTTGGGTGGGCAGGGACCTCCCAGCCCACCCAGTGCCACCCCTGCCATGGGCAGGGAC